TTCCATGTTAGTAACTAAGCCCTAAACCCTAAACCCTAAATCTCTAAACCCTAAACCCTAAATCCTAAACCCTAAATCTCTAAACCCTAAACCCTAAATCTCTAAACCCTGAACCCTAAATCTCTCAACCTTTGTGTGGCAGGCCCTTGGCATGCCAGGCCTTGCAGGGCTATTGGCCAAGTCGCTTCCTGACAGCTTTGAAGAGGTGCACGGCTTAGGGTGCAGGTTCAGGGTTCAGGGTTTAGGGTTTAGGGTTTAAGGTTTAGGGTTTAGGGTTCAGGGTGTAGGGTTGAGAGTTTAGGATTGAGGGTTTAGGGTTTAAGGGAGTTTGCGGCTTCAGCGTTGTGGGCCTCTAGGGTTCATAGAGTAAAGGGTTCAGAGGGTTTAGGGTTTATTGGGTTTAAGTTTTGGAGTGCGTAGGCTCCAGGTTTCAGAGTTTAGACGGGAATGCCAATCAACTCGTAGCAGCCCCCTCCCTGCCTTTCTTATTTGCCTGCCGCCCTGGTTGCTAGCAGGGAATGAGGGAATAGAATCCTTATATAGCCCCAATATACTGCATGCCCATATTCCCTACTTGTTCCCGTATTCTGGACTAAGAACTACTAACTGGTTATCACTATCTCTAAATAACCCCTATATACTACATTCCCATATTCCCTACTTGTTCCCCTACTCCGCACTACGACCCAGCAAGCCTTCCCGTGTCGAAGAGGTCTCCTTGAAGGCCGTCCAGGCAGTGCTTGGCGAGATCCAGCAGGCGATGACTCGCTTCTTCAGGGGTCAAGGGTGTTGGGTATAGGGTCTAGGGGTTTAAGGGTTTAGGTTTTAGGTTTAGGGTTCAGGGATTTATTTGGGGGTTTGGGGGTTTAAGGTAGGTGGGCTTTGGGTATAGGGTATAGGGTCTAGGGGTTTAAGGGTTTAGGGTCTAGGGGTTTAAGGGTTTAGGGTCTAGAGGTTTAAGGGTTTGGAGGTTTAAGGGTTTTGGGTATAGGGTATAGAGGTGTAATGGTTTTGGTTTTAGGTTTAGGGTTAGGGATTTAAGGGTTTTGGGGTTTAAGGTAGGTGGGCTTTGGGTATAGGGTATAGGGTCTAGGGGTTTTAGGGTTTAGGGTCTAGGGGTTTAAGGGTTTAGGGGTTTAAGGCTAAGCGGTTTATTAAGGGTCTAGGGCTTAGGGGTTTAGGGGTTTAGGGGTTGGGGGGTTTAAGGGTTTCGGGTTGAGGGTTTAGGGTTCAGGATCACGGGATGTCACTGGATAGCCTCATTTTTGGGACTCTGTATGTGGAGCCCAGATGCGGGTACACTGTTCCTCCTAAATTTTGGAAGTGAACCCCTAAAAACCAACTTGCCTACAGGAGGAAATCGGCATGGAACACCTTTGCTCTCAACTTGAAATCCTAAATCTCTTGTGTTTTGCGTTTAACCTAAACGCTAAACTCTAAGCCCTAACCCTAAACATCAATAAGCACCAAACCCTAATCTTTGAACCTTAAGCCCCTAAACCCTGAATCCTCACCCTTAAACTTTGTGTTTGGCTGTTGCTATCGCTTTCCGGCTGAAACCATTGCTAGGCGCTCGTCCCTTCAGCCGAGCGCCTGCCTCAGACCATTGCATTTGCGGAGTGGTGAGCTTTTAGGGTATAGGTTTAAAAGGTAAGGGTTTAGGGTTTAGGGGTGTGGAGTTTAGGGTTTAAAGTGAGGGGTTTTGGGTTTCGGGGTTTAGGTTGTAGGCCCTGCACCTGTGGAACCGTTATCATAGTAGGTTTCTATGGTGGGTTCGTCCCACGAGTCAGGGATCCCCTTTTGGGGGCCCCAAGCGTGAGGATTCTAGTTTTTGAGAATCTGCGTGCTGATCTGATCCCTGCAGCGTGTCTTTGAATTTGCGATAGAACCTCCCAGGGGATGAAACCACCGGCCCCTGAGCAATCATGAACAATCTTGATGCACTCATTCAGTTGGCGGAGCAAGTTCTGCACAACTCCCTACCTACCTCATCTGAATTCCGAGTTGCAACTGGCATCTCGACACTGCTAGGACAAGCATAGCTTTTGCCCAAACCCATGAAATTCCATGGTATTTCCAGTCATTCTTCTTCAGATAGGGCTAGGACCTCTATTCCTGAAGATCCTTCACCATTGGTTCCCCCTTAGTTCCCAAGAACCTCGGCGTGACTGGTTCGAGGGCCCTAGGCGGGGCAAGATTTCATCCACCAACAGTGTCAGTCGTATGATTTGCGTTGCTAATCCTACTAGCCAACCCTAGACCCTACACCCTCAGCCGCTCTCCTGCCCCCGTTTGCAATTTATTGGATTTTGGTAACGTCAAGCCAACCAGAAAGCCTCGACAGGTTGTATGAGTTATAGTCCAAGCTCCTTAAAGAGGGTTGTATAGGGGACTATATAGGGGAGTAGCATAGGACTTACCAAGGGGGATACTAGGAGTTTAGGCTATAGCGCATCTGATCACATAGTTCCTCAATCACTCTGCAGTTGCCGAGAAATCCGTTTCAACTACTCCTATGGCCATTGCATTAACGATTCCCAGTGCTATCCTGATTGTTGCCACTTAAATGACACTGCACCACTTCTAGCATTACTTAATGACCCTAAACCCTAAAAAATAGTTTAATCAGCTTATCTTCCATTATCCCCATCTAACCCCTAAGGCGCCCTACTATTACCCCAATGGGCCCCCTTATTACCCCAATGGGTAATAGTAGTACTAGAAAACACCAGTGCTATTGGTTGTTGTCAGCTTATGAGGCTTGCGGCGCAGGCCGCCGAGCGGTTGGATGGCCTCCGGGTCAACGGCGCTGCCTGGTGCGAGCTGAGCGATCAGATTTCCATCGCCTGGGCCTTTGGGTTTGGCAGCAACAAATACTCCCAACAGTTGATACCCTGAATGCCTCCCTGCTGGCATTGAGGTCGGGTCTAAAGCTAAAAGCTCACGGATGGGCCATAACTAGTAGTTTCCATTTTCCTTTGCAATATTCCTATATAACCCCTATATATATATACCCTATACCCCACTGCGAAGCGTGCTGCGAAACGTGTCCCCATGGCTTTCTTTTCCGAGATGCGCCTATGGCTCTCTGTTCTCTGCCGCGTTGCCGGGGAGCCTGGAAGTCAGGAAAGGCCGCATGTAGTTGATATGAGCTGTAGTCTAAACCTGCTTAAAAGGGGGTTATATAGAGGACCATAAAACTGCCCTAGACATTGTCCTCATCAGCATCCCTTGTAATGTATGTTGCCCTTAATCTCCCAATGTGAGAACCTCCCGCAATATCTTTATCTTCCAAGTGCTAGCATTGGAAAGGAGATGGAGCTATGATGTTGCATGAACAGGCTTTCGCTTCTGACTTTGCTTACATAGTCTCCAATCAGGATCCCCCCCAGAATTTCTCGGTCATATATCTTTAGGGCACCCCCCTTAAGCCCGAAGCCTAAGCCCCACACAAGCGTACGCCTTATTCCCTTCACCCTCAACCCCAAAACTGTAAACCCAAAACTTTAAAAACCCATCCCTGTAGCCCCCTACCCCTCAACCCCAGATCAAAGCCTTAGCTTTAGAACCCCCCCTAATCGCCCCAAACCCTATAGTCTCTAAATCCCCAAGCCCTGTTAAATTCCAAGTCCCTCAATGCCCGCAACCTTAAACCCTTAACGCCCACAACCCGAAAGCCTAAGCCCTAAGCCCCATTCCCCAATCCCTAAACCCCGAACCCCCAAAGCCCAAACCCCAAACCCTGAACCCTTGATCTTTCAGGATTTCCCTGACCTTGCCCATAGGGCAGTCCAGCACAGACAGGTGGTGGACAAATTCCCAAATTCCCAAATGCCTAAGATAAGCCCGGAGCTCTGAACTAAACCTTAAACCCTAAACCCCAGTCCCTAATCCCTGAATCCTTGAATCCAAAGGACCCTAATCCCTTTAACCCCAAAGCTGGGCTTGCCCGAGGCGCGGCGACTGGGCCACGGCTGCTTTCTCGCGGAGCTGTTGGGTGCCCCGGGCGTTTCCGGGGCCCCCGCGGCCGAGGCCTTTGGGATGAGGGTGCAAGAGTTTAGGGTTTAAAGGGATCAGATTTATGCATTTGGTTTTAGGGATTAGGGTTTAGGGCTTAGGGATTAGGGTTGAGGGATTTAGGGTTTAGGATTCAGGATTGGGGGTGGGGGATGGGATTCAAAGGTTCAGGGCTCAGGGTGTGAGGTTTTACCGTTTAGGGTCGGGTTTTCGGGACTAGGGTCAGGGATTTGGTCCTAAACCCTGAACGCCGCACCCTACACCCTGCACCCTAAATTCCAGGACCCCCAGGTCCAAAACCATATGCCCAAAACACTAAGCCCAAAACCCCAAACCTTAACCCCCAAACCCAAATACCCCCAAACCCCTAAACCCTTAAACCCAGAGCAAGGACTTAATCTCAGTCTTCTGCGCCACATTGGCAGCAGCCGCCAGGCAAGGGCACCAGACAAGCAGGGAGGCATTAGGGTCCTTTGGATTCAAGGATTCAGGGAATAGGGACTAGGGTTTAGGTTTAGGGTTTAAGCCTTTAGGGATTAGGGTTCAGGGTTCCGGGCTTATCTTAGGCATTTGGGAATTTGGGAATTTCGGCAGTAGGATCAGGGTTTGAAGTTCGGATTTAGGCGCCTGCCTCCTGCTAGGCATGAAAGAATCCGAGGAAAGGGATCTCTACAGTGTTCTGGAATCACAAATTCCGTCGTAGATTCGGTTCACATTCCTTCATTCCCTGCTTACCCATCCCCAACCTCTACAAACGCCCCATGATGCAGTAGTTTCCTTTTTGCTTCCATTTCCTCTTTCCCTCCTCACTCGTCAACCCAAGCCTTTAAAACGGCCTTAAACCCTAAACCCTGAATCCTCCCTGAGCAGAGTTTAGGGTTCAGGGTTTAGCAGTCTGCATTTTCTTTTCCATTCCTTCATTCCACGCCGGGGTGGCGGAAGGGCAGTGGCCGGACGAGCACCCACGGCGCGCGAGTGTGCCAAGCTGGAGGCAGGGCCCGCTAAGGACGTTAGAAACCACAACGCGTTTAGGGTTTAGGGTTTGCCTCTTGCTGAACAACATGTTACATCTGTATGTATAAATATAGATTCACAATGATCGCTTTTAATCGTATTACAACAAGAACCCAGTACAAAGATGCACAAGAAGCACAGGGTTTAGGGTTGCAAGGTTTAGGGTCAGGAGCATTACATTTCTCGTATTTTCGGGTTCAGGGCTTGGGGAGATGCGTTAGAATCATCATGACCATTCTAGTTGCCATACTGAGAAGAATATCCCTGCCAAGACTCAAACCCTAAACCCCCAGTGTGAAGTCCTGCAGGCACAGCTCCAAGCTTCACAGCAGAAACTTCTCAGCGCCCTGTGGCGTCGACCGCTTCGTACAGGCGCAGTGTTACCATTGCATGTGCTGTGTTTACCCTGAACCCTAAACCCTACACCCTGAACCCTTCTGAGCCCTAACCTCACGCACTCAAACCCTAAACTCTGAACCCTAAACCCTGAATCCTAAAGCCTGAATCCTCAAGCCTAAACCCTGAGCCCTGACAACAACCCAAAACCCTGAACTGCTGTTCCTGCCGAGGTGAGGTGGCAGCCGAGGTGCGCGGAAGTAGCCCTGCACAGCCGCAGATTCAACAGCGGTTCACTTATAGAGGGTTTAGGGTATAGGGTCAGTTGAAGGTTCAAGGGTTTAGGGTTCGAGGGTTTAGGGTTTAGAGTTTAGGGTTAGGGTTCAAGGTTTAGCGTTTGGATGTGTTGGGGAAATATGCGGGCATTTTCGGGTTGTATACAACGGCTCTACGTATTGGGATTCGATAGGGATTTCATACGGGTTACATAATGTTACATAGGGATTACGCACAGATATACCCCAAATCCTGAACCCTAGACCTCAAACCAATAGTCCTAAACCCTGAACCCTAAAACAATGTAGGGATGCGCCAGGTGTTGGCCTTGAGTGCAGCCCACTCCGTGCTGGCGCTCCTTGCCGATGCTGCCAAGTGCTACCCCCAAAGGTTTAGGGTTTCGGGCTTAGAGTTTAGGGTTGGGGTTTAAGGCTTAGGGTTTAGGGGTTTAAGGCGTCTGGTTTAGGGCTTGGGGTTCATGTTTAAGGCTTAGGGTTTGGGGTTCATGTTGAAGGCTTAGGGTTTGAGGTTTAAGGTTTGGGGTTTAAGGTTTGCGCTTGGGGGTTTGGGGCTTAGGGCTTAGAGATCAAAATGAGGAAGCCCTAAACCCTAAACCCTAAACCCTAAACCCTAAACCCAATGGAAATGGGAAGCTCCGCTGCAAGGTGCCTGGCCCTGTCGGTGGAGATTGCGCTGGTGCAGGATGTGGAGAGAATCTCTATTAAACCTAAACCCTATATAACACCTATGTATCCCCAATATATACCTTATGATCTCTATATAACCTAAAGCCTATACAACCCTATATATATCCATATATATATATACCCATTATATTAGCACAAAGGACATGGTAGCCAGCTTCCTGCATGCCAGGAGGTGGAAGATGTTGACGCGGCGGAGCACAAAGACTGCGAAGCCAGCGAATTACATGCCTCGGAGCTGCCTGACCTCACGGAACGCGCGAAGCCCCAGCGTTAAGCAAGGGGAGGTCCGTGATACCTGGAACGCGAGCTGACTTACGTTTACTAGCTAAGGTCTCAAAGAGCAAGGCCAGTACGAGAAGCAGCTTGCCTTGTTCGAACACAGGTTCATTGACTTCCTGACCGCTTGCCCGCAGGTCAACAGTGCAGTTGCACGCAGGGTCATGTACAACTGTAGTTCCGCAGTACCACGCTGGTGACCTTTCATGTTGTTGGGGTAGAATCAATCTGTGCCCTCTGAACCCTGAACGCTAAACACCAGTTGTTTGAGCCCTGACGCAGGCTAATCCCTCAGCCCTCAAGTTCAAGATTGTGATTCTGTGCCATTCCACCAAGGTATGTCAAGTGGCGGGAAGGCTGGTTGTGCAAGAGGGATATGAGTGGAAGTTTTCAAAGCACCGACTGTGGCCGCAGCCCCTTTTTGTTGACAAATGCCTGAGATGATAAACGGAAAGGAAGAGCCTAGTGGTTCTGTGACAGATCGTATTTTTTCATACTTGTGGGTCTTCCCATGGGGTTATTGACAGACTGAGTGATTCGAGGGACAGACTTAGTCATTTTGGGGGAGATCCCAGGATCCCAAACTCTAGGCCCTAGCCCCAAAACAGTAAGCCCCCAGCAGAGCCCTAAACCCCTAAAACCCGAAACCCTAACCCCAAAGCGCCTAACCAAAAAGCCCCTAAACCCAAAGCCCCTAGCCCCAACGCTCCTAACCCCAACGCTCCTAAACCCTAAACCTTAAACCCTAAACCCCAAACCCTAAACCCCAGACCCTAAACCCCAGATCCTAAACCCTAGCCCCAAAGCCCCTGAACTCCCAACAGTCAGATGTAGGCCCTAGACCCTATACCCTAAACCCTAAACCTTATATGGGTGGTTGTCAAAATTATGGTCCCTTTTTGGGTACCCTAAATATTAGGTGCCGTATTATAATAGGGACCCAAAAAGGGATTATAATTTTGACAACCACCCATATGAACCAATATGGTCCCCCAAGTGACATGTAGGCTACATGCAACCCTAAACCCTAAATCCTGAACCCCAAACCCTAAATCCTGAACCCTAAAACCCTAAACCTTATATGAACCAATCTGGTCCCCCCTCAGTCAGATGTAGGCTACATGCAGTGGCGCTCCGGTGCGGCTAGTGGCTCCAAGGGAGAAGTTGTCGAGCACGGCACCATGTGAAAATCTGTGCCAGCAAGGGGCTTAGGGCTTAGGGTTTTTAGGATTAAGGGTTTAGGGTTTAGGATTTAGGGTTTAGGGTTTAGGATTTAGGGTTTAGGGTTTAGGATTTATAGGGTTTAGGGTTTAGGGTTTGGGGTTCTAGGTGTCCTTCGTCTGGGTAGCTGTTGGGGGCTTAAATTAAGTTACCATAAGTTTGGGTATGTAGTAGGCAGGTTTACTTATTATAGTAAGTCAAGTTGAGTTTCTCAACAGCAGCCCAGTAGATGTTCTGCTTGCGTTTGCTTTCTGGTGTTTAGTAGGGTCTAAGGGAATTTTATTCCTAGCTAATTCCTTTATTATATGTTGTATTCCCATATTCCCTACAAAGAGCCAGTAAGTTTGCGACGAGGACCGGAGGGAAACTGCATGTCATTCGGAGAAACGCCAATGTAAGGCTTCCCTTGCACCACCAGCCCTGGCAGTGCCTTGAACCCTAAATCGTAAATAGCAATTGTAGTCATAGTAGGGCTTTAGGGTTTAGGGTTTAAGCCATGATAGTAGCAATAATAACAATAATAATCGTGCTGGCTCTGGCGGTGCCTTGATTCCGGCCTCTATGTGAGCTATAGTCTCAACTTCTTCAAGCGGATTATAGTCCCCCTTAAGTAGATAGAATATGGCTTGGGGTATATTAAGATCCCCATGTATCCCATATTCTATCTACTTAAGGGGGACTATATGTGGGGGACTGTCATGGGTTACTAAGGGGGATACTCGGAGCTTTGGCATCCCTCGTCCCTAAGCCGTACTAGGAGTTTACACATCCCTAAACCCTAAACCTCAGGGTTACTAAGGGGGATTCTAGGAATTCAAACCCTAAACTGACTATAGCTCATGTACTTCTGGCTCGCAGCAGCTGTAGCTGAGATTGCGGCATGGAGGAAAGCCGCTATGGCGCCGCCTGCTAGAGGAGGCCTCGCCCTCGAGTCCCACGTGGTTGCGGTTCAGCGTTTAGGGCTTACAGGAGTTAGGATTTAGAGTTTAGGATTTAGGGTTTGCGGTTTGGGGTTTAGGATTTAGGATTTAGGGTGTAGGGTTCAGGGAACGGACGGACGGATGGGTATGATGGCTTTCGTGTGGGTACTCAATCCTAGATGCTTCTACTGTTAAACCTTGGACCTTTTGTTGAGTGCTCTTTGGTTTCTTACGGCCGAGCTTGCGTGGTCCTCGCGATGCGACAGTGGCGCCAAATTCCAAGTGTGTGATCTCCCAGGAGTAAAGGTCGCAGTTTCCATTTTCTATTCCGTTATCCCTATATAATCCCCTATATATCCCCATATATACCTTATAATTTCTATTAACCCTAAACCCTATATAACACCTATGTATCCCCAATATATACCTTATGATCTCTATATAACCTAAACCCTATACAACCCTACATATATACCCATTATATTACCTGGCAGCTCCGCAGCTGGTCAGGACCCGCAGTCGTAAACTCCGAACTGGCTACGACCTCAGCCTCCCTAGCCTCGCACTTAGCCGCGTTTGTCGGATTTTTTTTTGTTCGAGATCATGGGCCCCCCCCCTTCTGTGGGTTCCTGTGAAAAGCTGTGAGGACGGACTCTATTGCACTGCATGTGTTCATGGGGCCCTTCTTATTTTCAGGGCCAGTTGCTGCCATTGACGCGCATGACTTGATCCATGTATTGTCCAGACATGACAGCCTTGGTAGCGTTTTAAAGGATAGTCCTTCCTTTAGCTCGAGCCGGTGCAGCCTTGGAAGGTCAGTCATGAGTGGCCTTACAGAACTGAAATGTGAGACTTGTTGATTGGTGATGAGACCACTGCAGGGAACACCTCAGCTGGCTCAAAGCCTCCAGGTGATTCTTGTAGGCGTTGGGATTCTAAGACCAATGCAGCAGCGAGCTGCAAGTCCCGTAGTCGAAAGACGCCGCGGCCCGACGACGTGGAAGGCGCCCATTCACTTGGGAGTCCGCTCCCAAACTCCTCCGCGTGTGGTGGCTATCAGGCAGGTGTTGACCACAGCACCTGCGGAATACTTTCGCGCAGCCTCCCCTGCGCTCCGTGGCCGGCCCCCAGCAGCCTCTCAACGCCAAGACCGTGCAGGCGATGATGCCAGACCCACCCTACTATCTTCCAAGCCACGCGGGAACTTCTCCGACATGCCTGAAGCAAACGGACGGACGAGCAAGGTAGCGGCCGAGGCAGCTAAGGACCCGTGTAGGGAGATAGCGTACGGCATCGAAAGTGCTGACGCGTGATGAGGTGGCAGGTTTTTGTCAAGATTGTGGGTTTGTTGCAGCGCAACAGGACCACCAAAGCGAGTACAGCAGCTTCGCCAACACGGAGAGCCTGCAAGATATGCCCCAGGACAGGTGCAGCAGGAAGAAGTCGCAAGGCAGAGTAGAACCCGAAAGGAGCCCTTTTTTCTATTTCCCCACATATAACCCTGTACAAGCCAGTCCATTCTCAGTTTGCTATTCCATTTGATTCTCCGTTGTTGGGTAATCCTGTCCGCAGGAGAGACTGGAGCGTTCCCAGAAGGCGGAAATTGACGAGGAGACCCAATTGCAGACTTTGGCCATCTGGGCTTACCTGGAGCTTAGGGTTTCGGGTCTGGGGATGCGTGCCACACACCGACAGGCTGCAGTGGCATCAGAGTGGGCGTTTCTTGCCAGGGGCAGTGCTGCGCCGAGCACTTGCAGATGAATCAGGTGATCCACGATCTCCAGGAGATTGGGTTACATTTCCCTGGACATCCCATGCTAGATAGAGTCCAAGCCACCGCAGCCAGATAAGCACATCACACACACACACACATCCAGGAGAGGCTGCAGCATTCCCAAGCGGAGCTGGCAATGTTGAAGGCCGAGAAGTCGAGTTGCGCAACACATGCTTTCGCATTCGCAGGGGTTTGTGAGCCTGTTACACTTTGCTAGGAGCAAGCCGGTGCGTAAAAACTGCAGATGAGTTGATTGATGTGTGAGCTCCAGCAGAAAGGGTTTGATTCACAAAGCTTGCAACATTTCATGCCATATGCAGCCAAAGTTTCGATCGTTGTGAGGGTTTGTGTGGCCTGCAGGAAGAACACGAGAACTGCCAGAATGCGGAGGCAAAATTGGAGGTGGAGAAGGAAGCGCAACTTGCTTGTGTCGCCGCCAGAAAGTGCTTGGGGCCAGCAATTTCTGGTAGGAGGCGCGCGCTGCCGAGAAGCTGCAGTCAAGTCAGTTGATCAGCGAACTGGAGGAGACGAGGGCTTGGGTATTGGACTCTCAGCTTTCCATGCGCCGAGAAACGGGGCGCCGAAAAGCTGCAGTTGAATCACATGGCTTGCGCAAGCTTGAATACGCCAGCCAGCTACAGACCCACTCCTGCAGGAGAGGCTTTACCAATCCCAGCAACAGGTGCTGACTCTGGAAGCCGAAAAGGCGCTGCACGTTGCATGCTTTGTCCAGTTTGGGTGGGGCCTCGCTGCATTAATGTGCAGGAGCAGAACGGCGCAGAACAGCTGCGGATGAATGCGCTGCTTTCCCAGCTCCAGGACAAAGGGTTTGATCCAAGAAGTCTTGCATTTCATTGCGTGTCAGTCATTTTGACGGCTTGTTGGGCCTGCAGGAAAAGCACGAGCATTGCCAGAACGCGGAGGCAAAATTGGAGGTGGAGAAGGAATCGCAACTTGCTTGTGTCACCCCCAGAAAGTCCTTGGGGCCAGCAATTTCTGGTAGGATGCGCGCGCTACCGAGAAGCTGCAGTCAAGTCAGTTGATCCGTGACCTGGAGGAGACGGGGGCTTGGGTTTTGGACTTTCAGATTGCCATGCCATGAAATGTCATGTCAAGCCTGAGAAAGGGGGCGCCGAAATGCTGCAGTTGAATCAGCGAGCTACAGACTCACTCCTGCAGGAGGAGCTTGTCCTATCCCTTAAACAGGTGATGAACCTGGAAGCGGAAAAGGCGCTGCAAGTTAGCATGCTTTGTCCAGTTTGGGTGGGGCCTCGCTGCATAGTGTTAGGAGCAAATCTGCGCAGAACAGCTGCGGATGAATGCGCTGCTTTCCCAGCTCCAGGACAAAAGATTTGATCCAAGAAGTCTTGTGACGTTTCATGGCATGTCAATCATTTTGAGGGCTTGTTGGGCCAGCAGGAAAAGCACGAGCACGGCCAGAATGCGGAGGCGAATTTGAAGGTGGAGAAGGAAGCGCAATTTGCTTGTGTCGCCGCCAGAAAGTGCTTGGGGCCAGCAATTTCTGGTAGGAAGCACGCGCTGCCGAGAAGCTGCAGTCAAGTCAGTTGATCAGCGAACTGGAGGAGACGAGGGCTTGGGTATTGGACTCTCAGCTTTCCATGCCATGAAACGCCATGTCAAACTGAGATAGGAGGCGCATGCCACCGAAAAGCTGCAGTTGAATCACCCAGCTGCAGACTCACTCCTGCAGGCGGGCCTTGACCTCTCCCTCAAACACGTTCGGATGTTGAGAGCTGAGAAGGAGCTGCAAGTTGCATGCTCTCCAGCTTGGTTGGGGCTTTGCTGCATTTTGCGAGGAGCAGATCTGCGAAGAAAAGTTGCGGATGAATGCGGTGCTTTCCCAGCTCCAGGACAAAGTGTCTGTCTCCGGAATTCCTTCTCCGTTTCATGCCGTGTTCAGCCAAAATTCCAAGTCCTTTGCAAACGAATCGTTCCCGCATGTTCCCGCCTGCAGGAGAAGCTGGAGGCTTGCCATGTGGAGCTCCAGACCAAGAAGATCAAGCCGCGTCTGGTGAAAGAGGTCGTCTGCCATGTGGGCCTG